TTATTAAATCTATGCATGTTCCAACTTATTTTATTAAATTTTTGTGGAGTTATTTAATTTGATTTGAATAAAATAAAATACCATATTAAAAAATCTTTGCATATTTTTTACACCAGTTAGTACAAATGATGCCATATAGCATCATTCCAAAAGACATTTAGAATCGCATTTAGGAAAAAAATTAAATTGAATGATATTATATAATGTATTAAGGATCATTTAATAAAAAAATAGGATTTTTAAAGCCCGAATCTAAAAAGATGTACCGAAAGGGTTAAGACAGCCCCAGTAGAAAAAATCGAATGGATTCAGGTCTGGCGATCGAGCGGGCCACGTGATTGGCCCGTATCGTCCAATCCATCGGCGAGGATAAGTGAGCTCTTACTTCACGCCCGTAGTGAGCAGGGCACCCGTCATTTTGCAGCCATAGTCTTCGCCGCAGGTTTAAGGGTACATCTTCCAAAAGAGTTGGAAGCCGTTCCTGAAGGAACTCTAAATAACTGTGAGAGTTGAGCGTTGGCGGCAGTTCCACAGGTCCCAATATCTGACAATTAAAAATACCGCACCATAAATTTATTTTGTACCGGTACTGCGAACGATCTTCTCTCATTTCGTGAGGATTGCCTATCTGCCAACTGTGAAGGTTATGTAAATTAAAATAACCGTCACGTTTGCATATGATTCATCGCTCTAAATTATTTGATTAAAAAAGTTGGGGTCTGGTTCATGCATTTGCAACATTTCACGGCAAAATATAACTCTCGACAGGTAATCTCTTTCTTGTAGAGCCTGAACACGTTGAATGTGGTAGGGATGAAATCGATGGTCTTTTAAAGCTTTGTGAACTGTAGTTTTTGGTATTCCCGTCCGTCTTTCCATCATTCTCACTGAAGTCGATGGACCTAGTTCCACTTCCTCTAACACAACTTCAACATCTACCGTTGCAGGACGTGCTGTTTCGCCGCCACGCCTTCCAGGTATGCGACCTTAAAAAAGTGAAAAATTATAGTTAGCAAGCAAGCAAACAAGAAAGGTGTAAAAATCACTTACCTTCATATATTTCTCTATGGGTCCGGGCGAATACTTCACGACCCGGATGCCGACGATTGGGGTATCGCTCTACATAGAGTCTTTGAACAGCTCTGGCATTACAGCAAGCTTCACCGTAAATTAGGTGAATATCCGCATATTCATGCGACGTATACTGCGTGTTCTCTGTCATAGTATTAATAACACAATGTTCGAAGGGTCCAATTTCACAAAATCCACTTTCACTAATTCCGGTAAGTAACACAAAATAATGTCAGAAGCAAGTAATTATGTACCTTTGTACTATTTAGCATGTCATTTGACGGTAACAAGAGCAAATTCAATTTAAATCTATTAAATACATTCTAGCGTGTCTCAGTCCTTTACCCACAAAAGCGGCTATAACTTTTTTTTTCTATTCAAAACAGTAAGTGTGGCACCTTTCTGAAATCTTTATTAAATGAGCAACTTTTTTATGTAATGTAAAGTTATAGCTCAGTACATTTTTTTTCACCCGAGATAGTCAAAGTTGGGGAAGAAAATATCAAAAAGTTAAAAATCCAGAAATAGTCCTAATTTTATGATGGTTCCTTAATATATTTTAACTACATTGCATTTGAGTATGGAGAGGCAACTATCTGGAAGTATTTGACATAAAAAATTTACTAAGTATTGCCCGGTTTGTATTTGCAGTGAAAAGGCACCATTTTTTTTTAATTCGAAAAAAATGTAAATATTTCAAAAACGGTGACACTTTTACCTGAAAATTTTTTGTTTATCAGGGAGCTCACCCCCCCACCTACCTTCCCCTAAAGTTTGGCACGTTAATTCTGGGACACTCTGTATGTATATATGTACATATGTACCTATATGCGAAATAATGGCAGTGAGACATTTTGACCAGCTTCGCCTATTCTGTTCATTGATTTTTTTTCGAATGATTTTATATAAAAGTCTAATTCATAATTTAATAGACTCAATATATATACAAAAATCGTCATTTCCAACTTTCCACAAAAATTATAAAAATTCAGCAAACAACAAACTTTGATTTCAGAATTTTTAAGGGGATTCCAATTTTTCAATTTTATGAATTTTTTTCCATATAAAGTGTGTTCGAAAATTTTTTAATGGATGAAAACTTAGAATCCTTCTAAAAATTCTGAATTTAAAGCTTGTTGTTGCGAAAACTTACTTTTCGTACCGCGTATTCACAATAGAATTCAGCGGTTTGTAAATATTTCTCACGGCCCTTATTTTAATTTTTAGTGCTTTTAATTTTAACTTTTTTTATTTTTTTTAATCTATAATGTGGTATGTGATTTTTTGTTATATAGTGACCTTTTATTTTAAATTTCTGTATTTTATGATTGTGCCAAAACAGGATGAATTGTGCCAAAAGTGCATCTGTGAATGAAAGTGCCAAAAATGGCACTATTGTGCCTACGTTTCCATTACTGCTCTGAAACGAAACTATTTTGATAAGTTATGTTTGCGCATCAACAAAACGAAATCGATTCATTTAGTTTGTTGAGCATCTCTGGTTGGGTTTCGTAAGACAAAGAACAAGATTATTCAGGATGTGAAACGACCGCTAAGAGTGCTGAAGGTGTAACCTTGTACCCCAGGTTGTGAAGAGAGTAAACTTTTATGTTGTAATATATTTAACGAAGAAAAAGGGAAAACATTTTCAAAAGCTTCTGGAAAGAAATGAATTGGCAACACAAACAAAAATACGTTTGCACGATAGTTCATGTTTCAGCAACAAAAAAAAACGTTCTAATAGATCTAAAAGATCAAATTTTAGCTCTTATTACCTTAAAGATGACGCTCAAAGCCTGCGGGTTTGCAAAAACATGTTTTTAACTACCTTAGGAATTAAAGCCT